ATATATAAATTAAAAAAACTTATCACCATCTCTGAAGCAGAGCAGAGTTGAGATGTTTGATCAGGGCAAACAGAAACCAATTGATTTTAATGTTGCATCTGTCATGGACCTGACATTTCTTAACTGTAGATGAGACTAACCCCACTGACTCCAGATTTATTGTGACAACTGAAATAATAACTTTATAAAGTGCTGTCACTGCAGAGTGGTGGGTTTTTATTTTCTTATGCAATCCCTCTGGACTACCAGCACTTGCTTTAATAATCAAACCTTACAGAGGAGTTGGTTGATATCCTATATATTTAAATTTCTAATTAATTTGATGAACTTTTTTGCCAGTTTGTTCTTTCTAACATCTCTGTTGTGCAGATGACCTGCTGTTTATACCTAAAAATTGTACAAGTAAAGAAATTCTTCATTTCTGCTTTACAAATTAACACGGGAGTATCTTGTGAGTGATGACAATCCCTCCTGCACTTGGGTCAATCAGTAGCAACAAAGGATTAAGACTCATTTAACTTTTCTGATTTGTCTTGTACACCTAAAGCTTCTCTAACGCTAGAGCTTCTGAAATATACTCCCAGGGTGACCTTTAACCTCTGTTGTCAACAGGAAAGCCCAGACCTCATTATGTGCTTCATTGCTTTACTGGGAGGACCAGTAAGGCAGTGAAGACATTTTCAGATCTGCCAGCACTTGTGTGACTGGATGGGACTGGTTTCTCATGTTCTGTGAGAACAGAAGCTGTCTGGTCTGGTCTGGTCTGGTCTGGTCTGGTCTGGTCTGGTCTGGGCTTCTGTTGCTGCTCAGTACTTGAATTCTGTTTGACCTGAGATAACAAACGAGTCAACCCGACTGATGCATGAATCTTGTTGGAGAATGATTAGATGAACCAGTGATGAATAGATGATCTAAAGTCGGTGCTTGCAGCTCCTGGTTGTTTATGACTGAGTTTGTTGAACAGAGTGGATGCAGATGATTCTGGTAGAATAAATGATTAAATCTGTTTGTGTCTGAGTGTGTAACTAACATTGGGCCTCATGCAAGAACATGTTCTTATTCTTATCCTAAATTTCTCTTACTTTTGTTCGTACAAAGGGTTCGTACGAACATGTCACGTCAGATTCAACAAACTCTTCTATCTTCAGGAAAAGTGTGTTAATGAGCTGCGTAAATTACACCTGTAGCAAGTGACAGATGCGGTTCTGAAAAGACGCATTTTAAAATG